CTTCGCTGGAATTGTTTCCGTAATGTCCAGCATCGGGGCGCCGGCCTGGCTCATTGCTCCATGGAATCTCGGTTTGGCTCTATGGTAAGCGATTGCGCCCATGCTGCAAGCGAATGGCAGGTCCATGTTTGAGTCCATGTTACATTGACCAACTTCCGTCCCTTGCGCTCGCCTTGGTGATCTCTGACTGGCCCTTGTAGCTGGCACGCACCGCCAAGCGCTTGCCCTGAGGTGAGTCTCAAAGGCTCAGCAACCCGATCGGTATCTCAGCAACTTGGCAACTCGGCAATTGCTTTTGAATCCAGATGGAGCCATTTTGTAAAGGGGGCCCTTTGGTGGACATCATTCCGGTGCGGATTAATGTCCAACAATCACTGATCAGGCGGTTCCCTATCAAAATTCATAGTCAGATCTGTGCAAGAGGGCAGCTAAGCCGAATTTGGCTGCCGAAAGTTAAGTTCAGGAGCGGCTACCCGCAGTACCCCCCCCCTAAAAAAACGAAGCAAAAACTAACGCAAAAACTGCAAATGACCCAAAATGGTTTCTCGCGTTGATGGGCAAACCTGGGATTCCAACTTATATAAAGTGCAAATGCAAGCGGTCCACTTCCTACAACGTTTAGAGCTCTAAGCCCTCTGCCAAGTTGCGAATACTTCTTCTCAAAAAGGCAAAGCCATGTGTCCCTCAGAAACTCATCACAAGCAACGCTTAGGTACCACCGTATTTGAATTTGCAGGTCCGGACGTTCTCCAAGGCTTCCTTGCAGAAAACTGCATGGAACAAGGGCAGCCCCTCCCAAGCACAGGACCACACTGTCCTTTCGGTTTGCCCTTAAACCACCCCAATAGGACCCTCCAAAAAAAGACAGACCCGCATAGTTTCCTCCCTACGAACAAGAATTGTGCTACCCCGTCTTTGCAAACTCATATGCATTAATGCGCAAAGCGCGATGACTATAGCTCATATATGCCGCAAGCCAACGCACAGAGCTGTTGGGGCTGAACGAGCTGAGAGATCATTTCCAATGGCATCCCCTCAGTAAATATTGACCGTTGCGGTGAATTGAGTGAGCGCATTGCTCAGCCCACCGCCTTTGCCCCCACCACCCAGGTACGCGCCTTAATGGCTGAGCCGGCCTGAGCCAAGGTTGAATCAATTCAATCCCTTTGGTCAGTTTGGCCAGAGCGCCCCGATCTGTCATCGGTCTGTCCAAAAAGCATGAGGAAACCTTTCAAACTTGGATGCAACTTTCTGCACAGATTTACAAACCTGGCATTGCACGGCCTGCTCGATCTCGCGTACACGGAGGACCATCAAAAAGCCATGTTGGCTGTCTTCGCCACCGGCGACCAGGAACTCGATCTGGCGCCCAAGGAACTAGCCAGCTTCGCGTGGTTTCTTTGGCCACCGGCTGATCTTTCACGTCCTTTTGCAACTTTGATCGATGGCACATGCAGGCCCTTTCCGGCGGCAACCATATTTGGCAAAACTAAAACGGGTTGCTCAGAACCTACCACTGAACCCATCGTGAATCAGGGAGCCTACCTAAACTCAGCCCACATCAAGCTTAAGCCCCACTCCGCTTACGAACCTGAACTTGATCAATACCAAGGCCCATCCCCCCCCCCACAACGATCGACAATCAACCCGAAGCCCATCCGCAGCCCTCCCAAAACCATTTTTCAATCTACTGGGAACCTGCCTAAAGAAACCCCCTGCATTCTCCTTCGAAAGTAAACTCGAATAACAACGCACATCACCCAAAATCAAGTGAGCCAACCAATGCAAAACAAGTCCATGTTGACCACGCCACTGCGGTCCTGGTTTCGTGTATTATCGGAGTACGGAATTGACCAAATGCTGTTTTGTGATACCAAATGAGTTCAATCTATCTTTAGAAAGTGATTCATCTGCATGACAAAGGACAGAAGGCCACTAGTTTGCCGTATCGCGGAGGACCTCATTGACCGGATGCTCTTTGACGTGGATGCAAAGACTGGTAAAAAAATGCGACTTTGCTCAGCGCGGGTTTTGGATTGCACGTGCTTCCAGTGAGGAAAGTCCAGAAAGGCGCTTGGCAACTGTACGTAAAGCGCTGACACACCCTACAACCTCTGCCGGTGACCTCGCGCTGCAGACTTGTGTCGGGATGGGCTTAACATCCGGCTGAGAATGAAAGTCGGTGACACCTAACAGCTCCTGTGCGGCAGGAGCTACTATACACGTCAAAACCTACTCCCGGTACGTAACTTTGTCAACACACAAGGGAATCCGGGGCGAACGAGTCGAACGAGCCAGCCCCTGCCCCAACGCAAGAATGCGGCGGCCTGAGCTTTGAACGCTCCTATTTGGCGGTGCTTATTGCCTGGACAGCTGCTTGGCCGCTTGGCTGCTCAGTGGGACAACTCAATTAACGCCAAAGAAGATCACTTTCAATCTTCGAAACTTGCGTTGGAGTGCAACTTGATACAGCCCGTCCCCTTACCTGTTGTAAGGACTAGCAGGACAAGTACTATCGTCATTGGGTCAGTCACCAAGCGGCGCCAAAACAATGTGCTCCAGGTTCGAAACCTAAGCCGAGCTATCTATACCGATGCAGTCCTGTCATCGGCTTGACAAGTCGACTCCCCGAGTGCGCCGAGAATGTTGAGTGTGGCATGCGAAGGGTGGGCAGGGTCCAATGTTCAAAGCGCTCTTCTTGCTGCGCCTTCAGTCTCTTTGCCCAGGCCATCCAATATTAACTCAAGTGACTCAAAACAAAAAGGTTGCGTCAAGCCCCCCCGCACCTGGATGTGTGAAAGGCACCTCAAGGCCCGAATTGTGGATGGCCTGTCGCACGGGCAGTGCGGTATCCGTGGGACACGCGAAACTCTCCCGAAATCCAAGAGTGACTCTGTGAAGCGCAAGGTTTGTCTTCCTTTTGGTTTCCTTTTGAAAACCCTCAAACTAAGATTCGTTTGTTTCCATGTCAAGTGTCTTGACACAACACTTCGCTTCTGCGATCCCAGGTTCTGATTGATCTCACAAACGCCCGAATTCAGGATGAAAGGCTTTTGGTGGCCGCACCACTTCTTATGCAGCCAAGATTGGGCGTCTGACTGGCAACATGAAACATGACGTACACCCGAGAAGTGAATGGCACATATCCAAGGTTGATCGAAGAAGCCAACACATCACGGCTTGAACCTCGCAACCTTTGAAGGCACGCGGATCAGCCTGGACGGCTGGCACCGGCACAACCTCCCCCAGCAGGTCATCTTGAGCTGCCACGGAAAGCCGCGGATTCTTTGGTGCCCAATGATCGGAAAGCCACTGCGCGGGAGCTTGCACTGAACCAAGATTTGAAAACCTGGCTACCGTGAAGTGATTGAGGGCTAAAATGCGACTCCAGTGGCTCATGTCCGCCAAGCCTGCCCATACCCGGTCTGCACTTGCCATGTGGCAAGCCAAAACAATTAAAACATGTCGGTGGCACAAAGCAGGTCGCGGTCCCAAAGGGAGACGTGCACGTGCTGCTCCTTGGCGTGCCCCAAATATATGGGGAAGCCAGGAAGTCTCTGAAGTATTGTTAAAAGGATGGACGACCCTAAGTGAGAATTTAAAAAAAGAAAGGATCAAAGGACGGCTGTAACTGTCACCCACAGTCCGGTCGGCGCGTGGACGGAAAACAACTTTGCACTGATCCGCTCGCTACCAGTTCGCCGCCACCTAATTGCTTAAGGCTTTATTCCTAACATGCGCTACCCACTGGCGTCTCGGCCTGCCTACCCTTCTCGGAAACCTGCTGGTTGTAGGTTGCAAAGATCCAGGAATGAATGACACCTGGTGAAAGCGGAGGGTTCACGGGCGCCCGCAATGCTTTGCCAAATAACAGCAAACAGCTACAATCGCCTCGAAACGCGCCCCTGCCTTGTGCTCATTCCTGCACTTCCCCAATGTGATTTGTAACATATTAGCCCGTGAATGCCTCACAGGAACCACGCCACGTGGCGACCAGAAGCCAAGCCCCTCTGCAGCGTAGCAGCGGGATCGTAGATGGCAAAGCTGTAGGACTCGGCATTAGGTGCGAAAAATGGTTCAATGATACAGTGATTCCCTTGGTGCGCAAGCAAGGCGTGTCAACAAGTTAGGCCCCCGGCCTGCTTGGATTTGAAGTCCGGCATCCAGACTTGCTGCCCCACTTTCCTTGGCAAGGATCGCTTGATGAAGCCGGTACGGGCTCTCTGAAAAGAAATGGCGCGGCTTTCTTGGATCAGGGGTGCCAGGTGCTTCCAGTTGACATCCGATTGAAATCGGCCATAAGGCAAAGCAAGAAGCCATAAGGCAAAGCCAGAAACCATAAGGCCGCTGCCTTGCCAAGGACATTAAGCATTGTGTCACGCATAGGTTTGTAAGTTGTAAGAAGGCCATCTTAGGCATTTTGTCTCCAGCACGCTCCTGCAGACAAGCATCTTAGCATCATCACAAATTGGGAGATGCAAGGGGTGGGGATTGGCCGGCTGTGCGAGTCCCAAACACTGTCAAATGTGGGTGTTGAGTTTTGAGATTTGCCAGATTGGTTCAGATTTTGCATCTCACTTAAACACACCGCACTTTGAAATCCTAACTCGAGGCCCAGAGTCTCACCCAAACACACTGGGTGGGGAAACTACAATGCTCTGTCAAATCATGTCCCACCTCTCGTGCTCCTTGACTCATGCTCTGGGCCCGCCGCCATTTCATGTAGGGCTCTGTGGTGATGCCGATTGCTGCTCCTCAGTGCCGATTCTGAAGGTCCGCGTCCACGGTCCAAACTTTGCGTGGGTGGTCCCTTACAAGAGACCCGGTCGGCTTTCAAGTGGCGAAGTGACCATCCCACCCTTCCTCCCACCGTAGAACCTGTATCTGGAAGGTCAAACTCCAAAAGTTTCAGCGGCACTCTCCGAGACGCGGGCCCACCTTACTTTCAACCCACTCCTCGCGCGCGAATTCGATACCAGCCCCTCGTCACCTGTAGGGAGCTGACTCCCTCCAACTCCAATCTGGGCCCCGGAAATAGGCAACAAAAGGGCCAGGGAACCCGTGGCGAGGCTGCCAAGAGGCCAGGGTTCCTGAACGCAACTAAATTCCGTGAACATGAGGACCCTGCGGAATGGCTTCAAAGCAAAATCGGGAGAAACCAAACATCTGGAAGCTGAATCGTTTTATCAAATATGCTTCTCTTCAGAGACATGCTTATTCTAACAGCCCAAGTCGCTTTTATCCTTGCACCGAACCACATCTCTTGATCTCGCAGGCAGTCCTCTGCCTCTTCCCATGCATCCCCGACTCCTCTGATCGCCTGCGGAGGCGTCTGGCAACTACTCGAGCCCCGAACAAATGGTCCGGCCCAAGAACCCTAGACCCCGAGACCTGCTGCGTCTAGAAAATAAAGCTGGCACAAAGCAATGTGTTTGCGTTGGTGATTGGTCATTGTGTTTAGTTGTGTGTGTGTGTGTGCGTATCTGTTGCGTGCGTGCATGCGTGCGTGCGTGCGTGCGTGCGGTGGGTGGGTGGGTGGGTGGGTGGGTGGGTGGGTGGGTGGGTGGGTGGGTGGGTGGGTGGGTGGGTGGCTGGGTGGGTGGGTGGGTGGGTGGGTGGGTGGGTGGGTGGGTGGGTGGGTGGGTGGGTGGGTGGGTGGGTGGGTGGGTGGGTGGGGGGTGGGTGGGTGGGTGGGTGGGTGGGTGGGTGGGTGGGTGGGTGGGTGGGTGGGTGGGTGGGTGGGGGTGGGTGGGTGGGTGGGTGGGTGGGTGGGTGGGTGGGTGGGTGGGTGGGTGGGTGGGTGGGTGGGGGTGGGTGGGTGGGTGGGTGGGTGGGTGGGTGGGTGGGTGGGTGGGTGGGTGGGTGGGTGGGTGGGTGGGTGGGTGGGTGGGTGGGTGGGTGTGTGGGTGCTTGTGTTTTGTGGTTGTGCTTGTGTTTGTTCTAATTGGTTCAAAATCATTCTCACAAATCATTACGACTTGAACAGCCATTGCCCTTCAGGGACGACTTGTTGAAAGCACTGCATATCAGGCCTGAATACACGCCATCTTTGAGGGTTGTGCAGGCAATGAGCCGGACAGCAATCTGAACAACCACTACTCAAATCAGTGCAGATACGCACAAATAAAACCTCCACCCCAAGCTCCTACGTGGCTCCGGCTCTTAGCTTCTGAGATAGTTGAGCCAATGCTCAAACTCATGGTGTTGCTTGATGATTCCATTTTGAAACAAAGGAGAATAGGGATGGCGTGCTTTGTGCACCTTGTCTTGGCTAGCCTTTTTGGATGCCTTCCTCAAGACTGTTGCTGACCACCGGCACCAGCGTGGAGCTTCCCAAATATATTTATTTGCAAGCCTCCATTCCAACACTGTTGCCTTCATTTGCCGCATAAGCTGCCTTTCAATCACATTCCTCGTGAGATGTCTAGCTCGTTTTTGCAGGAAACCATCCTTTTATTGGACGTTCCAGTCGTTGACACATTCCCACACGCCATCCAATTGGTTCGCTTGTATGTGAGATGTCAGAATTCTTTGGCCGAGTTTCAGGATGTCTCTTGGCCACATCAATAAGCACAGGGAAGGAACCACAGGCGGAACACCAAGTATGGAGTTGGTACCCTTTCTCGGGTTGCTTTGCAGGGAAACCAGAGGGGAAATCAGCCATTGTTGGGGTTCCCTAGTTTGAGACACACCCAAATTCCGCTTGCCCTCACAATTGACATGGAACCTGTGGGAACTGCAATCCTCTCCCGGTCGCCTTGCCGCCCATGCTCAACATGCGCCGGATCCAGCCTGGGAGCAAATCGAAGGCAGCATCCTTTTTGGTTTAGGGAAGCTACAACAGCAAGGCAAACAACACACCAGTCTTGAGTCCTTCAATTTTGGGAATCCAAATCAAACCTCCTGGCATCGCATTGAGGCAGTTCGTAACGCTAGCCAACGCAGGTCTGTGGTGTGCAATTCCAGCAGAATCTGATCTGGAAATTCATGGCCCGCAAGTACAACAGCTAAGCAAATCACATGACAATCTTAATGGTCGCATGCCAGAGAAAGAAGACGTGCCAAGGATTGTCAAAGGATACCAAACTGCGGAAGTGCGCCAGACTGAGGAATTGCTGGGCACAACGCTTGCTCTCAACTGAAGTTCGCGCCAACTGACAACACAATAATGTCCGGCGTTGGGGTTCGACCCCCAAATGAAAGCATAACAGCGGTCTGCATGTCTGCCTGGCTGGTATGTACTTTTCTGCCGCAGTGCGCTCTCTGAGTGAAGGCGTTTGCAGGCAACAGCCGCTCACAGGCTTGCCACCCCAGGCACAAGTCGACCAACCTCCTGTCTAGTTCTGGTGCGTGAAACTGGACCAAGGCGGTTAAAGGGCCAAGCCAGCAGGAATCGTGGACCACCAGGAGCGAGCACCTTTTCGCCGTGTCCTGCAACTTTCCTCGCACTTTCATGGTCACAAGGCGAATGTCCGTCTCAAACCAGCTGTCGAGTTGGATCTACTCCATCAGCTCTGTGGGCCTGAAGCTGTCTGGGTTTCTTCGGGCCTTTCGAGAAACCAAGGCCGCGCGGGCGGCGTCAAGGTGCTCCTCCAGGAAATCACAGAGGCGCGGCACGGTGAAGTCGAAAGGCAGCTGGATGAAGCCGCCTTGGTCAAAGTTCGGCTAGCGGACGGACGGATTGCTAAGGATGAAAAGTGGCCTAACGCTAAGAGAGGCTGTCACACATTTCGTTGCTTTTTGGCGCCCAGCGTGGATCTTAAGCCAAGTGTGCGGGCAAGCATATTCATGCTGCAAAACAAAGCAACTCGATCAGAAAATCAGAACCCCCGAGCGGTCCTGCGCGCAGTTCACTCTGAAAGGCTTGATTTCAAGTGCCTTCAAAGCAAACAGAACTGCGACTTCTGCTGAGGTTTCGGCTTCCATGTGCGCGATACTCGCTCTCCGCGATGACGATCGGCACGGGCGGGGGGACCGAACGCATGGCTTTCCACAGGTTCTCCAAGAGCCAGAAATCCGCGTCGCTCGCAAGGTTCATGCCGCACACCCGGCGGATGGCCTTGGCTGATCAGGCGGAAAAAGGAACACATGCCCTTGCTTGTTTCATTCAAAGAAATGCGAAGTCCAAGCTCTCTTTCTCTCTCCCTCTCCGCACTTTGCCCCGCTCTCTCTCTCTCTCTCTCTCTCTGCCCTTTTGCCAGGCGTTTGGGTCCCCGGTGCCTCCCGTCGCTGGTTTTCCGCCAGGCCAGGCTTTAGGAAAACGAGGTCGGGGTGAAATCCTCCTTGGAGCACTCGCACGGGATCCTCGCGCTCGTCAAGCCCATGCTTCGTCGGCGCCGCCCTTTCGGTCCCTTGGAACTTTTCGGCCACCTTGGACTGGACCAACTCATCCAGCTGGGCGATTCGCAGCTTGCGTTTCTTGGTGTTCTTGATTCGCAGAAAGCGCCTCCGGGGACATGGGAAACTGCAGAAAAACCCTGTCTCATTCCCACCGGGAAAAAAAAAGCGCCTCATCAGCTGGTGGGCGTACTTGCACGCGAAGACCCGCTTCGCCATGTGCAGCTTCACCTTCTCGTCGTCCGGGCCGTGGATCGCCTCCCGCACCAACTCCTCCTGCGTCTGCTGCCACCAGAGCTTGTCGAAGGCCGCCCTGGAGGCCCCCGGCTGGCTGAAAAGGGACGGCACCTGACGGGCACGGCACGGGCGCACGGGCGCACGGGTACGCCGGCCCAAAACCCAGAGAGAGAGAGAGAGAGAGAGGGGGAGCGCCCCCTTTGCCGCTGGCACGTTCCAAGATGGAAAGTTGCCAAAAACTGTGCGATCCATCGGTCTCCAAGTTTTGTTTGCCTTCCAACTCCTTCACACCACATCTATAACTGTGTGTTCGTATCTGTGTCTGTGTGTGTACTTGCGTGCGTGTGCTCGTGCGAGTCTGCGTGTGCCAACTGTCATATGGCAGGTGGCAGGTGCCTTGTGCCGGTTGCCGAGTGCCGAGCGATGAAAGCCGGGTTCAGGGTGCTGGATGCTGGGTGTGTGCGTGTGTGTGTGTGTGGTATGTGGAGCTGAGGTGCCAGCAAGAGCAAATACGCGGCTGCCTTAGAACTACTTGGGACTTCTGGGAAACAAAAAAGGCAAGTGAGCCGTAGATTCCAGGACTCTTTCCAGCCCAACCAGAAAGAAGGCCTTTGGCGGTCCAGTCCAGCACCCCAGCCGCACCCGCCCCGCCCGACCGAGCCTCAGGGCGCTCTGAGAAAAGGCCTTCTTCAAGGGCAAGCTCTGCGCCGCGCAAAAGCTGTGCCGCCGCCAGCCTGTGAAGAACTGCAAACAATGCCGACCACTTTGGAATAAACAGACATGGAGCCATGCAGTGAAAGCAACCTGTTTGCTCATGTCACCAATTTTCGCACACACTTGGCAGGAGGGCCGAACACTACAAGCACGCACACTTCTGGGGCCAATGGCTGTCGCTTCGTGTACATTTATGTTTACAAATCTACATAGCTGAACCGTTTGAAGGATGTCATGTGTTTCTCGCAAACCCGTCAACCCCTCGACCCTCAACCCCTCCTCCCAAGCGTCACAGCAACAGAGATCGGACCCGCTGACAGGCCCCGGGAATTTGTCAAAGCCACCCAGCAAGTGATAGGGGAATTGATCACCGAAACAGCCAACATAATGAACATAATGAAACTAGTTACACTGAGCAACTCCTTGTGTTCCTCCTCCGCAGCGGCAGGCAGGGAGGGCAGCACCAGCTGCAGCGGCACCACTCGGTTCGGCACCTCTCGGCCCAGGCGTGTGCGCAGGGCCCGGAAGAACGGCAGCTCGCAGCTCACCTGAAGCCGTTCTGCGAGCTGCGGGCTGCGGGCACATACGGGTGTTTCCCAAAAGAGAGAACGCCTGCTTTGCATTGTTAAAAATTCAGCGTGCCCATTTTCAGCTGGCCATAGTGTGGATGAACAAAATCCATGCCAGGGACATGAGGCAGTACGTTCTCTTGATCTTGTGTACCTGCGATTTTGGGGGAACAACCGTGCCTGACCCTGCCTTGTTTGCGCTTTACTTGCAACATGCAGGGAATCAAGCGCATCATCCATATACCGCAAAGAGCCCTCCAAGAATACAGTACGAGCGTCCTTTCACAGTCTCAAAAAACCCAAAAACAGGTCGGCTTCCTCTTGGTGTCCTATGGAAACCAAGCAAAAGTCGGTACCCCTAAGACACTAAGCCAGTTGAAACCCCGACCAACCGTTCAGATCCCATCCACAGCCTCTGGGCCTTCCTCAAATTTCCGTGGGCCCTCGCCTTCGAGGAGGTCCACAAAAGCCTCGGCAAGGGCCACTGGGCTCGGAGTGTGAGGCGATCCAAAGAGTTCCGCAATTCTCCGCGCCGCGCTCCACAAGCTCACTTGCAAATTCGCAAATTTGCAAATCCAAATGTGAGAGCGAGGCAAAAGACAAGCCGCGTTGAGCTCAGAGAGCGAGGACTGGTTCACGCGCCGGGCCTCGCTTGGAAAGGCCTCGGTCAGGTCCGGGTGCACCGCGCGGATGAAGCCTCCCAGCAGCCGCCTCACCCCCGCCACTCGCCGCACACACGAGCGGCTGGTCGCCAGCGGCAGTGGCGCCAGACGCTGCAAGCAGGACTGATACATGGCAAATGAACTCCGGGCGAACGTTCGAGGACTTTGTAAGCCGCCTATTTCAATGTCTGGAAAAGGCAGCGACTGCTCCTGTCTACAGTCCGTCCCTTGGGTTTTTGCGCACAGTAAACCAGTCCAGAGGTCGTCTGCCTTTCTATCGTGCTTCCCAATGGCATTTGAACCAGAGTGCTGCACATTGAGAGAAGCGCTCAGTGCAAAAATGCAAGCGCGGGGGTTATAAAGATTGTGGACCCTGTTTTGCACAGCTCGCGGCTAGGAACCCTCTGGGTAGCGGGCTCGGCTTCGGCTGTTTCTCCTGCAGTCAGCGGAAGCATCCGCTACTTTTGGTGCGGGCCATACCCAGAAAGGGTCCTGTGCTTCATGAAATGAACATGGAAAGTCGGAGATCAACAAAATCAATCTACCATCAATTGTCCTGCACTTGTTTGGAAACTTCTTGAGCAAGCTGAAGAGGTGTTTCAACAACTTGGATCTATGAAGTATGTCAAAACCTTCCAATGTGGTCCGCTGCCACACCTTGAGCTCAAGAATCTGACACTCGCCAGTCCGAATGTTGTTTCCCACCCGAATGAAAACCATCGAGTTGGGTTTCGGGCTAGTAGCGGGTAAAGCGACGAGGAAGCTCTGTATGACTTCTGCAAGCGACCAGCGGTCTCGCCTCAGGAGAGAACTCAATCTCCTTGCTTTCCAAGTTGCCACCCTGAAGGGTAACTCGCCTCAGGGCACAGAAGGCAGGTGCCAAGATGTCCAAACGTGCGAAAATCACTTGCAAAAGGGAGCAAAGCAAGGTGCAAACTGCGGCTCTTGACACGGCCCTATGTCGCCTACAAATGGCAGCTCCCGCGCAATGCACCGAGGGCGCGGCAGAATCCCGACGGGTACAGGGCTGGAGAAGACTAACGGGTACATCTTCAAGTCCTCAGCGCACGCAACCCGCCCGCTCCGAACCAAGCCCTTGGCATGTCAAAAGCTGGGGCAAGCCCTTCGGCCTACGGCATCTGAAGCACGAACACCCACTGCCGGCCCTGCGGCTTCGCCAAAACATCCTCGCAAGCCCATCCTTGCGAGCCAACCCTTTCAAGGAGCCTGACTGAGACAGGCTCGAAAGGTCTGTAGGGTCCCAAAATGGCCCTACCCATGTTGCAGGGCGGGGCACGGTCAGGCTCATGTGCTGCGTCGCCACGTTCGGCAGAACAAACCTCGGTGGCCGGACTAGTCCTTGCAGCAGAACCCGGCCAAAGCACGACCAAACAACCAAGCAACCGACTAGCCACCGACCACGCAACTCAAATCAAGTCAGCTCAGCTCAACTCCACCCCACCAACCGAATGGGCAAGTAATCCTTGAAATGGCCCACTGGCTCAAGCCAGTTTCCCGGGACAAGGTGACCAAGTGTATCAGCTGAGTCTGCAAATGTCAGGCTCCAGTCAAATGCAAGAGCAACGCATACAGACCGCCACTGCCGAAAATTGCCGAATGCAAGTGAGACCGAGCGTGCGTTTGCATGTGGAATATGCTCCTGAAACTATCCGAAAGGGAGTGCACTGACAAACCCTGTCCATCACTTGTGTTTCCGAATATATATTTCGCCAACCTGAAGCCAGGGATCCCAAGTATGGCCTTTCGGTCATCAGGAATTCGTCCATTTGCATCTAGCAGCATGTCTGCGATCATCGAGTCTACGGCAAACCGCAGCACTTCCTGGCACGTGTTGGAAGTGGCGCACACAAGACAATGGCAACGCGATGCAGCTGTTTCATTCAGGAGTCTTCTTCACATGGTCCGGCATGCAAATTTGCTTTGGATGCTAGGAAGCTGTCATGTCATCATACCCGTTGTCATTGCATCCGAACATGTAACGTTCACTCTTCTGAACCCAGCCTTGACAAAGGGGAAATTGCCAAACGACATGTTGCCCGAGAACGAGAAATCCACCTTCGGCCTAGGCAGAGGGCTCAACCAGTCCGGGCTTTGAAACTCCTTGGAACAGCCTCGCATTGCCTCGTCACCTTTGCCAAAGCTTGCGAGGCCGAGTCTGTCACGAGTGGCCAACATGCAGGAAACGGCCATGGCCCGGTGACATCCCAAGAGCCAGACGGATCCACAAAAAAGATAGAGACGCCGCCCACGCCCGGGGAGTCGGGGATGTGGGGACCTCAGACAACCGCAACGAGGCCACTTCACACTGCGCAGCTTGTCACTCCATTGCAGCTGGTCAGAACATGTTGCCCGAAGGTGGTCAAGACTTTTTCGTTTCCAGTTCAAAACAAACAAGAAAGTTGAATGTGGTGCTCGCAACCATTCACCCAGACCACACAAGGCTTTCCAAAACTTCCCAAGGCCCAAAAGGACTCACATGACTCCCGATCTTCACGGTTTCACATAGCCGCAATCTGCCCCGCGCCCTCCCGTCCTTCTTCGGCGCCCGCCCTGGGCGGAGCTGGGCGCCCCGGCGAATTCGCAGCACCATCTGCCCCATGATCCTTGGCCGAACAGCGTGGTTCTTTGGTGCCAAGGTTCCGACCTGCCTACACGTCCCAAAGATCTGCAAGGATGACCCCAACACGGACCCGTTCTTGTGGCCATCGCTCACATGATAGCGGGCATCAAACTTAGGGAGTCTTGGTTCGAGAAATCAAGACGAACTCAGCATCCCTGATCTCGAGACCGCACCCTGCCTTTCAGCCACCCCAATGTCGGTACTCTCGGGGTACTCGCAAGTGGACGACATGACCCCACCTCTCAAGCCTAGTGTGTCGCAAAGGAAAGATTGGGCTGGAGGACCCTTGCAGCCTTCAACACTCTCTGCCTTCCCCTTCAAGCAACAATCGAGGCAGTCACCAAGGTCGCCGTTTGGTGCGAGACCCTTGCTTCGTGATCTCTGGCTGCCATGGCGCGGACGAGCAAACCAACAGGATCGACAAGCAAAGCCAGAGGACCCCAACTGTTGACACTGCGGAGGGGGAAAGACGCGCGAGCTTCGCACCAAGCGGCCGGAAGTCCTTCAAGCCAAAGGTCCATGTTCCTTGGACCGGTTGCCCAGCCAGCCCATGACGAACAAAAGCATTGGCTCCCTGCCATGTCACAAGTCACTCTCTGCCACGTTCCAGAAGGGAAGCAAGCCATGTCCTTTCGGCTAAAAACCTTATAATCCTCTTGGCCATGCAGATTTGCTGCCCAGCTGCCGTAGGAGGTCTCCTTGGCAAATGCTTAACTTCCAAGATGACCCCGGCGCTGGCAACACACAAGCCCAGTAACGCCTCCTCTGCTCTGGGCAAGCAAAATTCCACATTTCAACGAGCTGAACTGCAGGACAGTCAGAAGAAAGCTGAAATATATTCGAAGTGAAACAAGAAAGTGATTCTGTTCAAAGAAAACACCAAACAAGACCGACCCTTTGCAAGCTCAAGTGGGGGGCACGGCGGCTTCTGCTGCAAAGTACACATGCATTGACACGGTCAACCGCTGCAAGAGTATGCAACTTTGCCCAGCCAGCTGGCGTCAACATGTGCGACACCCATTGCTTGTAGTCTTCAGCAACGCCGCTTTCGCATCAAATGGGGCACCAAGAACAGAATCGCAAAGTCAAAGGCTCAGTCTTGGAGTGAGCAACGACACTTCCGTGGCACAACTTCTCCAGAACACCCACCCAAGATCACCAAGCGGTCTAAAGCGCCTGATCTTGCACATGGAAAACAGACAAACAAGAACAGTTTGCACGTGTGTGTGTGTGTGAGAGCCAGCAGGGTCAACCTGCCTCAGCCACATTCCCCACATAGTGTTGAGAAGTCCAAGGTGCAAGCTGGAACTCCACGTGCATGTCAGACTGGTAGTCCTTGGCGGGCGCCATCAATCATTCAACAGCTTGTGGTCCAAACAAGTCACCCTTCCGGGACTTGTTAACTCGGGTTTCACCCCGCCCCTGGCTGCAGTCAGGATCTCGACTCCTTCATTGAGCAGACGGGCCCTGTCCATTCGGTCAAAGTATCAACCCATATCAGGACCATGGTACGCATGACAGTAGGACACATTGTGTCCTTTTCGGCCTGCCTAAGCACCAAGCTTGACACTTGTGAAACGCGTTTTGGAGACCGGAAAACATGAGCAGCCTTTGGCACTGCGCTTGTTTGGTTGCGCCTTGCACACAATACCAAATACTTTCTACAAGTAATCATCCCGTGCGCTGAGACGAGAGGGCCCGGCACGAAGGAGCGGCGAATTTAGGGGACACTTGAAGAGAACGCAAGCAGGGTTTGGTGGGCAGGACATGGAAGTGGAAAAGTACTCTCAAACTAACTCATTCTCATTGCGACATGCACTGGCGGCCGGTGAAAGGCCAGCACCAAAAAGCATGGCACAGCTCCGTTCTGTGAGATATCCTCCGAAAAGCTCCCAGGACCCGGCTGCTTTGTGAAGCTCTCTGAAAGCCAAGATTCCAGGTGCATTCGGATCCGAACCGAGCCCCTGGGCATTCGTGACACCTGCGGCTGAGAGAGTTGTGCAAACTGTGCCTGCCCTGGTGAAAAAGATTTGACACAGCCCTGACAAAGGGTGATTTTGACAATGCTTAGATTTTGACAAAGCTCAGAAATGATGGTCGCGAAAGCGACGACGAGGGACCGAGCGGGGCGATTGCAATGCAGCCCGGTTCAGCAAGGTCTAGCAACCACAGGATCGTGTCGATCTTCAAGGTGCTCCCAAGAAGCCATGTCACAAACATACGGAGCTTCAGAGTGAAGCTTCTGGCTGCAACGGGAAAGGTCTTTCTTGGTAGCACGGTTGATGGATGAACTGAAGTGGAGGTGGAACTGTACTTGATTACAAAGAAGCTCCTCCGGCTGCATTGTTGAATCTAAATAATGGAGCCTTGCTTCGAAATGGGCCACCAGCAGACAGTAAACCTGCAATACTGCACTCTCGACCTTTGTTCAACAGCCCTTCTGAATAGACTGTTCCGTGAACTACCGCTTTGTGCGGCTGTACGCATTGCAGATGGCACGAGCAAACTGGCCTCCCTTGATCTGCGTACCCGGCATCGGCCGAATGGCGTGCCTGCACGGGGCCCAGCACCACCGGGGCGGAGCCCAGGGTGAAGGCAGCAAACTTTACCTCAGATCCGGAATGCTCCCACTCCTATCCTTTTTGGGGTCTCTTTACTCTTTACCCTCTGAAAGAGAAATCAAAGTCAAGTCGATTGAGGCGGGGCTCTCTACATGTCCCTTCAAAAATCGCTCCTTTCAAAATGGACCAAAAGACGATCACTGTAGTTTTGGTGAACCTAGTCACGAGGACCCGGGGTTGTGAGATGAGCAAGAAAACAGTCTGGCGTGGCATTGCCAAACTCGCGTCGTCATGGCTCAGTCAATAGGAATCCGTATCACGGTTGAGCCAGAAGAAACTGTTGAGTTGATATCCAGGCCTCTGCCTCACAAAGCAGTGCCACGAGCACGCTCGTCAAGCTGCCCAGGTGTATCCAGATTGAACAGAGGAAGAAGTTCTGTGGAATCAGCACAACACATATTCTTGGCAATGGAACTTGCACTAATCAAGCAATCATTCGGATGCTAGCGCTTCCAAGCGCCAAGATTCTTAAATTCTTAAAGATACGACGATCACAGGATGGGCAGAAAAAACAGAGAGAGATAAGCAATGTCATGAAATGTCATTGTGATTGGCGCCCCCCTCCGTGTGTGTGGACCCTGACAGTTTTGGACAGGAAGGAGGAAGGGAAGGAGGAAGGGAAGGAGGAAGGGAAGGAGGAAGGGAAGGAGGAAGGGAAGGAGGAAGGGAAGGAGGAAGGGAAGGAGGAAGGGAGGAAGGGAAGGAGGAAGGGAGGAGGGAGGGAGGGAGGGAGGGAGGGAGGGAGGGAGGGAGGGAGGGAGGGAGGGAGGGAGGGAGGGAGGGAGGGAGGGAGGGAGGGAGGGAGGGAGGGAGGGAGGGAGCCAATGAAAGACGGAAGAAAAGGAAAGGAAGAAAGAAACAAAGAAAGAAAGAGGAAAGGAAAGAAGGAAGGAAGGAAGGAAGGAAGGAAGGAAGGAAGGAAGGAAGGAAGGAAGGAAGGAAGGAAGGAAGGAAGGAAAATACGAAGAAGAAAAAAAGAAAGAAAGAAAGAAGGAAAGAAGGAAAGAAGGAAAGAAGGAAAGAAGGAAAGAAGGAAGGAAAGAAAGAAAGAAAGAAAGAAAGAAAGAAAGAAAGAAAGAAAGAAAGAGGGAAAGAGGGAAAGAAGGAAAGAGGGAAAGAAGGAAGGAAGGAAGGAAGGAAAGAAAGAAAGAAAGAAAGAGAGAGGGAAAGGAAGGGAAGGGAAGGGAAGGGAAGAGAAGGGAACGGAAAGGAAGGGAAGAAAAGGAAGGGAAGGGACGGGAAGGGAAAGGAAAGGAAGGGAAAGGAAAGGAAAGGAAGAAAGAAAGGAAAGGAAAGGAAAGGAAAGGAAAGGAAAGGAAAGGAAAGAAAGGCAAGAAACAAAAGAAGGAAAGAAACAAAAGAAAGGAAAGAAAAGAAAACCCCGCCGTAGATAGTCCGGGGGGCCCCCGAAGAATTCTTCGGCAGTTGGCGGGAGGACTGGACCTTTGCACATGCGAAAAATGAGCCGTCCCCCCTTGCAGCTCGCGCGGCATCGGTGATCTTCCCCTTTGCCTGCCATATTGAGCGCATGTCCGCACCAGCGGTTGATTTGAAATCAAATCCCTTCGACATGCTCGAATATGTTCTGGGTGTGTCGTGCTTGCGGGTTCCCTTTGGGGATGGTGTCTAACGGAAAATCCAAGTACAAGGTGCCTACCACGCAAGGGGTACCAGTCTACTAAAGACAGTAGCAGAACAGCTACTCAACCAGCCCAAGGCTGCCATAGGGTCTGATGGATTGCATCATGGTGGAGCCCCAGAATTGCAGCGAAGCGTTTCTGGGTCTTGGGTGTTCATGCGGTGCACTCAGCACCGCATGGAGTCAGCTCCTTGGTAAGTCGGACTGAACAAACCAATCATCGCCCAACGGGGCCAAGACAGTTGCGTTTGGCTTGGAAGCCACGCTAAAGCCTCTGCGCTGCTAGCCCAAGATACGATGAAAATACGTGGAACCCTTTGGTGCAGCTGCCACCAAATGACTACGCAGCAAACTGCCACCCACCCTTTCACGGAGGCCACCAGCCTTCGCGATAAGCTTCCGCTTCAAGTTGGGCAGGACTATGCCTGTGGTCGCTACAGTCGCCCACCCAACACACACCCAAAAATGTGCCTGACAGAACGCTGTGTCCGCTGGTTGGCGGAGTGAAACAGCACTATATGGGGTCATCAAAAAACCATATCCGAGAAATATTGAAGTACGACCAAAATCAGCATCAATTCTCAATCTAGCTTTTGAACGTATTGTCTGGGATGAAGCTGCCAACCTCCCAATGCAATGTGAGCTGGCGCTGCGATGACGCAACCGACCTCTGACAACTTCGACAGTTTCGATCCCGAGAAAAGATGCGCGGCGCTCGCCTCGTACTCTCAACAAGATGGGTCCGGGGCTTGGTTCGAGTGGGGCTCCAAGCGGTCGCTCGGGCTGCGAGCCAAGAGCCGAGGCCCGGACCATGCGCAATGGTGGTCGCCGCCTGAAGCTGGGCAGGTCTGAGGCCGTTGATGAAACAGTTGTTAGGGTCGTTTTTAGGGTCGTTTTTAGGGTTGTTTTTAGGGTGTTTCGACTTCGATCGCTTCCCTCGGAGTTGCCGAGCCAAATCTGAACCTGATAGCGATATCTCCGTGGTTTACTGGAGGCAACAGATTCATCCAACGCATCTCAGCTGGAAATCCAGCCGCCTCGTTGATGGGTCCAGCAAAGGAAATGGGTTTGAGTGAGAAAGGGCAACTATCCTCCATCTCGGTCATAAGGATTCCAACAAGGCGGCCTTGAAATGTCCATGCTGGCTTGATGTCACTGCGAACACATGTGTGTGTGTGTGTGGGCGGGCGGGCGGGCGGGCGGGCGGGTGGGTGGGTGGGTGGGCGGGCGGGTGCATGGGTGCATGGGTGGATGCGTGCGCGAGTGCGAGCGTGCGTGTGCGTGTTCGTGTGCGTGCGTGTGCGTGTGCGTGCGTGTGCGTGTGCGTGTGCGCGTGCGCGTGCGCGTGCGCGTGCGCGCGTGCGCGTGCCCGCGTGCCCGTGCGCGTGCGCGTGCGCGTGCGCGGTGCGCGTGCGCGTGCGCGCGCGCGCGTGCGCGTGCGGGTGCGCGTGCGGGTGCGGGTGCGGGTGCGGGTGCGTGTGCGTGTGCGTGTGCGTGGGCGTGGGCGTGGGCGTGGGCGTGAGCCTGGGCCTGCGCCTGGGCCTGGGCGTGGCGTGGCGTGGCGTGGCGTGCGTGCGTGGGTGGGTGGGTGTGTGTGTGTGTCTGTCTGTCTGTCTGTCTGTCTGTCTGTCTGTATGTATGTATGTACGTACGTATGTATGTATGTGTGTGTATGTGTATGTGTATGTGTGTGTCTGTGCGTGCGCGTGGGCGTATGTACGTGTGCACCAAAAGAAAGAAGCACACAACAAAACACAAACACACAACAAATATTACACACAAACACCAAAACAAAGAAGAAAAACAAAAAAGAAAAAAACACCAGCAAGCAAGCAAGCAAGCAAGCAAGCAAGCAAGCAAGCAAGCAAGCAAGCAAGCAAGCAAGCAAGCAAGCAAGCAAGCAAGCAAGCAAGCCAAGCAAGCAAGCAAGCAAGCAAGCAAGCAAGCAAGCAAGCAAGCAAGCAAGCAAGCAAGCAAGCAAGCAAGCAAGCAAGCAAGCAAGCAAGCAAGGCAATCAAGCAAGCAAGCAAGCAAGCAAGCAAGGCAATCAAGCAAGCAAGCAAGCAAGCAAGGCAATCAAGCAAGCAAGCAAGCAAGCAAGCAAGCAAGCAAGCAAGCAAGCAAGCAAGCAAGCAAGGCAATCAAGCAAGCAAGCAAGCAAGGCAATCAAGCAAGCAAGCAAGCAAGCAAGGCAATCAAGCAAGCAAGCAAGCAAGCAAGCAAGCAAGCAAGCAACGAACCAACGAACGAACCAACGAACCAACCAACCAACCAACCAACCAACCAACCAACCAACCAACAAACCAACCAACGTGTTTGCGCGTCTGTCTGACTGTCTGTCTGGGTGTGTGGGTGTGTTGCTTGGACGATCAAGCGTGCCACGGAGAAGCGATAAGTACCGTAAAAACCACCCGCCTCGCTCATTTCCGGCCAGAGGTGCTTCATTGACACGTTCAGCCTTGTTGCGAGCTTGACCACTGGCCTGCGCCTGGAATTATTTTTACAAACAATTGGTCAAGCATACACTGATTGCAACTCAAGTCAAAAAACTGGTTTGCCATTCACCCGACACCCTTGTGTTGCCCCTGCAAGGATTCTAGCGCCACTCACCTTTCTGGGCCAGGATTAGGAGAAGCAAACGCAGCACCCATTGAGTCCGGCCCTGGCGGCCCTGGCAGAACACGCGCGCGCGCACGCAGCGCGCTTGGTCGAAACCAGCTGGTTAACGCTGCTTGAATTGAACATGACCCGCAAAGAAAGTCAGCGTTGACGCTCTCTTCCCCTAACTCGAACCTCTCACCTTTTGTTGCTAGGCCTCCGTGCCAATCCAGGTGAGACGCTTCGTTCTCCTTGGATCCGGCGCCGCAACTTCGCGCAACACGCCGCAAGCGAGCTGTATGAGGCCCAAGCCAGCAAGAAGGCCTTTCCGGGAGCTCCCTCTGATTTGAAAACGGAACTGGCAAAGCTCTATCAATCCAAGAACACTTGTTTCGGTGCCCAAGTTCGAGGATGGCACTCTCTCTGCGCGGAAGAAAACAAACGTGCATGACTAGTCAACATATACTGGATTGCTTTCTGACACTGAGCAACTGCCACAACTTTGTTCAGCCTCAAGCTTTGCGGTCTTGGAAGCCAAGGTGACTGACAGCGCCCTTTGGTAAGCTTCCTGCCAACCAGCTTCAAGCACACAATATGCAGGCCAAGTTGCCCAGACCTCATGAACTTGCGATTTCACTTCCTGCCACACGGCTGAGAAAGCGCAAGCCATTTGCCATGAATGTACTAACCGGCTGTGAATTCTTGAGTGCTTTGGTTTTAGAGACAAAGCTTGCAGCTCGGGTTTCAGCAACAGCAGCTAGCCGGCTCGCGGCACCATTTGCGCACGCAAACTTGGAATAAATCAGCAAACACCGTTTTTTTTTGAGATCGCAATGTCTGGGCCTGTTCCGGCCCCTCTTCATCAGGACTCGACGCAGTTTGCCAGGGGGGTGGGGGGTCTACACAATGTACCGAAATGAGGCATGGTTTTAGAGGGAGGGAAAAGCTCGAGGTCGGATAGCCGCGTGAAGAGCTTCAAGACGCTCATGTTCAGCAAAGCAAGGAGGCATCAACTTCTAGACACTCCCAAGTATTGCTACACAGCGCATGCTACCGCTGCGCTACATGAACTCAGAATTCCCACATTGCCATCCCATGTTCACTAGGCTGGCCAGACTGGGCCCAAAATGGCAAGACATATCGCCAGCCACCGCTCTGCCCGCCTTGTTGTTGCTCCTTACTGAAATTCGCTTGCCCACCACTTCTCGAGGCGACAAAGTGGGCGAGGCTGGTGAAGATGATTGATGGTTCCTTGGCAGAAGTTGCCAAAACTCGGCCCACAAAACCTCTGGCCAAAGGGTGACAAATGATGGCCCCGGCAAACGGACAACATTCTGCAAAGGGAGCCAATGCGAGGAAGCCCACGTGACAACAAGGCAGGAAAAGATGGGCAGGCAAACGCCCCTGGAACCCCAACAAGAGAGTCATGCATTCAGCTTGAGGGGTCATGGGTTTGTATGTTTTCACGAACTTAATCATTTTCACGAGGGAATCAGCAAACAAAGATATTGCTGCTTCAAAAGACAAACTTCATTGAGAGTGGTTTCCGAGCGCCCTTGCATAGGGTCCGCATAAGCGCAAACTTCCCCCCCCCCCGACAAAGTTCATGTAGATTCCAACTGACTTCCATGGCGGTCACGCTCAGCCAGCGGAGACTGATAGGCTCAGGCTTCGTCTCGAAATGATAAACGCTGCTTCTTGGGCCAAAAACATAGAGTTGTGCGAAGCTCTGGTTGCAAGGCACAGAAACATAAGCATATCCCGCCCCCCTCCCTGCCCGGAGCGTCGTCGAATTGGCACAATCGGCATGAATTTGATCATCCCGTCATCAAGAACATTCGAGAGAGGGTTGCCATAGCCCGCAGTGAACGCGGAAAAGCACGATCAGAGAAATAGATGTTCCGGAGTTCGTCGAGTTGATGCTGCATGCTGCTGCATGTTCGTCAGTTCGGCCAAATGCTTCATAGCAAATAGTGAGTTCAGCAAATGCAATTCCTAAACCTAGCACTCGGAAAGCCTGCCAGTTCGAGCAAGCCATGAAGAATGATTCGCCCCATACCTCATGCCAAGGCTCGCCGCAGCAAAGTTCGCGCTGCCATTTGTGCCGATCTGACAGGGGCCAGCAAGCAGCAATCCAAGGCTGGATTTGGAAATTGCTCTGTAAATGTTCAAAGGCCATCCGTACATGGTGTCGCATCCATCGGACATAAGCTTTGCCACAACTCCTTGACAAACCCGCACCCCAACACAAGCAATGGCTATCAAATCAAAGTAACATGATACTTTTCTACAAGCGCAAAGCCCCCCAGCAAAAGGCGACAAGACCGCGTCACTCGCGCTCCATTCAGCTTTCAGGAGCCGCTGCATGTTCAAACTATCACCCAGCACCCTTTGCAAGGGTCACCTTTAAAATCATATCCCTGACGCGCATGGGCTTGTGCCAAATGCAGTGTGGAGCAAGTGAAGCGGATCTGCCCAGGAGGAATACCAGCAACATCCATCAAGCAAAGGAGGGCGGGGGCGTGAAACTAGGAGAGTCACGGGGCCTGAGCTGCTGAGCTGGAAGCCAGCAAGCATATCACTGCTGGAAAGGTTAGGTCGGTTAGGTGAGTTCTTCCCAACATGACACTTGCGCGGCAATGCTGATTGGCATCGTTCGATCTCAGCTTAAGATCCGCAAAAGGCACAGGGCAACGCTCTCCATGGTTGGGGAGCGTCGTGCCTTCGGGAATGGCTCGACTAAAATCGGGGAATGCAGTGCTCAGGTTTGATGTCAACGCATGTACTAACTCTTGATGAGCGATTTGACGACAAGGCACCCGAGCATACTATCTGATATTGCTCTTCATTCTAACAACATGACAATACTTTAGAAGGGACCCAAATGTGCCCGCTATCTACATGGAGCGCCGACACAAACTGCTGAGCCCGGGATTCTGTGTCGGCTTCATCGCCATGTTGCGAATGGGAATGCGACAGAATGGATGGGACTCCTTTGAACGAAAGTACATGATTGCACCCTACAAGTCAAGATGTATAAGCAGATCATCGCCCAGCAGAGGCACGGCAACAAGAAAAGGCTGCCTTGCTGCAGCATGTACGCAAAGCATGTGATGTCTGCTGCCGCCGAGAAAACTGAGCCAACAAGGAACGGAGCTGGTCACGGGGCACTTAGACCCTAGACAATCGCGACTCTTAAACTGCCTCTTCCACTCTTTAAACCCAACCCAAAGCAGACTTCGAGCATGTCAAAAGCGCAGGCCTGGTGTAAAGTGCCCCGCCTCTGTCACGTCAATACTTTCACCATCGCAAGCGCAACAGGAAAACATGAGTGTCAAAGCAGCAGTGTCCCTGAAAGCTGCCTAGATGCTCGGATTGGCACTGTTGCACGTCAGTGATCCCTCAGGTGGCATGACAACACTGACATGTATTTGGCTGAGCACTCGGCCTTTCATCTGGCTAGCATGCGACATGTCTTTGGCTGATCCGATACTCTCAGCTCAGTGAGCCAAGCGGGCAAAACATCAGGTTTGCTTGCCTACAGCCCCTGCACATGTCAACTGGCAGATCATCATAGAGCTTGCCAACTGCATCCATGCAGAATCTCGGTGCGAAGCATGAGACTGTGGGCTACAGTTCTAGAAGAGCCTTGCTTTGGCTCGCAGATTGTGATGCCCAACAAGTCTTCATGATTCCAAACCCAGTTGGACAAGAATGGGAAACAGGGCTCAATGCATGAATGCTGCAAATTGAATCAGGTGTATCCGTGCCTGAAGGGTGCATCTGAATGTGCATTTGTATGCATCTATATATATATATATACATATATTATATATATATATAAGATGTATGTACGCGCGACTGAATAATTGCGTCATGCTGTTGGTGGTAGATTGTCCACACAGGAAAGCGCATCATTGGGGGTTCGCATGTTCAAGTGTATCAACTTCACCTGAGTTTTAAAATGTGCTAAGGGCAGTGCGTGAACTACACTGCACAGAGATAGTTGTGGGGATACGTGGATTTTTTGGACGGCGCCTTGTTTGGGGTTGCTTTCAAGGAAAACCAAAGGAAGAGCACCCATCGTGACCTTTGAAAGAGAAGCCCAGAGAGACCGATCTCCCGTACTTCCTGTGAACCATCAAGGCGAAGCTCTGCCTGGTCGGGTGAAAGGATTGACCCCCAGATCCAAGCAACAATGTCTCAAAAGGAGGATTTCCTCCTGGTTTTCCTTCTAGTGTCTTTTTGGTTCTCTTGGTTTCCTTCTGGCTTCCTTTCGGTTCTTTCCGGTGGTTGTCCCGAGATTGCCAACTTGCGAATCCTGTTCCAGGATTCGTGATTTGGAGCAGTAAGTCATCAACGTGGCTTGTGTTTTCTGTTTCGTTCTGCGGGAGGGATCTGTGGTCCAGAAGACATTGATGTTGTTTTGAAGAAACCCTTCCACTTGGTTGACGCTAGAAGGAAATCAAAAAGAAGCTTAAAGGGAACGACCCAAAAGGACACCAGAAGGAAACCAAAACGAAACCAGAAGGACACCAAAAGCAAGCCAGAAGGCAACCAAGGACACCAACAGTCTGCTTTACGTAGCATGCAACAGAGTGAGTCCAATTCCAAGAGAGGGTGCAGAGAGTTAGGAAACGGGCACCACTGAATTCAAGACTTGAACCAGCAGGTCACCAGCAGAAGACTTTGAGTGATCATGGAGCAACGGTGCGATGCGTTTGAGTTCTAGAGCACAACCTAGATCAAACGGCTAAATCTCGCTGATAAACAAGCCTCACAACCCCCTTGCCTCATGCCGCTGATCAAGCTGCTGCAACAGACTGGGGTACCTGCAGTGGAGCGCAAGCCAATGTATGCGTGTACATACTCCATGCCACCCCAAGCCATGCTTGGGCACGATCTCTCCAGCATTTATCTGGAAGTCTGTCTGAACTTCTTTTTGAGTTTCCTTCAGGACAGACCATGCCAAGTATGACTCA